TACCTTTAACATAGAAAGCTTTTAACTTCGTGGGAAATTAGTTGCGATTTGATTCATTTAAATGGGCTTTCAATAAGCATTTGTTTGGCATCTGCTACAATTTTCAGGTGTATATTTATATAACCCTTGCATTCTAATTTGCGCTTACAAAATTATAACGTGTTTTTTTTTTTTTTTTGAAAACAATAGATATTAAGTTATTTTTTACATACTATAGTATGAATGATAATTAATATGCAAATGCACATATGTACATTTATTACGCCTTCAAGCCTATATTTAAATGTTTGCTTTACTTATATATTTTTAAAACCTCCATATGACACAAACAAACCTCAAAACAAAAAAACAAACAAAACCTATTTCGCCTTGAAATTGTTGTGGTTCGAATTCGCTCAATCCTTCGTCTTTGCACTACGTTCAAAAAAATACTAAAAACTTTAGGCAATGATGGCACAACAATCTAAGCAAGTCGATGAGGCCATTGAAACGGCGCAAAATACGCATTTGGAAAAACAGGCCGAGGAGAATAGCATAGCGTTGCGAGAATTCGATGGTATACTGCAGCCAATTATTGAGTCCTGTACCAAGGATAGCATCTCTGCAGGTAAATATGCGCAAATCCATAAAGACGTTGAATAGTTTGTAAAATTCTTGAGCTCGTATTAACTATTAAGAAAAAAAAATATAGAAGTAAAATATAGTTTTTTATAAAAAATAGTTAGTCCTTATGTTATTATATGTAATACTCTTTAAAACTTGCAAAAATGTTAACAATATAAAGTAACATTTTTGGTATTGCAATTTTAGGCAAAAACTGGATATTACAGCATTCATCCGACAGCGCAAAAAGCAATGTTGTTTTACAATATCTTTTAAAAAAGTATGCGTCAGTTAATCAATTACTTTATTTAACTAATTTATTAACTCATAACCAAAATTTCTCTTCCACTCGAGGTGACCAAGATATGCAATAGGAGCGACATTTTGCCTGACCCATATTAACTTTCTTTTGAATATAAATTTATTTATTTAATTTCTTGCTCCCTCACTCGTTTAATTGAATACGCAAAGAAGCGAAAGAAAGCTAGATATTTAAACTATATTTCCAATGGTCAGTATTGCAGGGAATACATTTTTCGATTGAAATGTACACTCTGAAATACTTACTTTTGTGTAGACTTAAAAAGCCTCTTTCCTAATTAAAAAATAAAATAAAAAAAACGAAAACAAATTTGCAAATTGAAGTAGAACGAATATTTCGCGTAAAAATTAGACTTTATAGAGAACAATAAATTTACAGTGGGCAAGAGACACGGAAAATATCTTTGTGAATTTATTTTTAGGGCTTTGGTCAATGGTTCAACGTTTCAACAAAAATTGCATCTTATATATTTAGTAAATGATATACTCCATCACTGGTAAGTTGGGCCAACATATTTCTTTACTTAATACTTTTAATTGAAATAAAATACAAAACCAAAATTGGTAAAACAATAAAATTGGCTTAAAAATGAAAATCCGTTAGTAAATTTATTTATGTCCAAAAATTAATTTAATAGAAGTCAATTCATAAAATATAAATCACACATTAAAAAAAAATTAATTCAGCCAATTTATGCATCTTTAACTGATTTGCATCTAAAATAATATTTCGGTTTTGCAGCGTACGCAAGAATTCTCATGATCTGAAGAACAATTTGGAAAATGTGGTTATACCGATGTTTTGCAGTGCAGATTTAAGTAAGTTGCACCAAATAATTTATAAAAATATATGCGCTATTCTATAGTAAATGAAAATGAAAAAAATTATTTTATTTCTTTAAAGTCGCAAACGCAGATCAGCGTGCCAAACTCACTAAACTTTTATCACTTTGGGAGTCAAAAGCAAAATTTTTCGATGCATGCGTTATATCGAAGCTGCAATCGCCCGATTCTTCAATGCAGGAATACAAAACGAATTTGCAGAATATGCATCAAGATATCGTCACAAAATTTGCGCAAAGCACAAAGGCCACACTAGAAAAGTATGTAAAATTTACACTTATTTTGACATATAGTATACTCCATTATAAATAAGATTAAATTGCATTTTTTGTCGCCTCGTCAAACCCACAATCAATTTAGCTACCAGAAACAGCATCAAATCTTCATTCAGCATGCAACACAACAAATCACACAATTGGAGCAACAAAAGCAACAGTTAGAACAACAAATGTTGGCGTCTGTATTGCCGAATGCAGCTGCGATTTTGCCCGCAGCCGCATCATTACCTCCGCAGCAACAGCAACAACAACAACAGCCAGTTATTCCGAAGATTCCTCCACTAATGGCGCAAAAGGTTTCTATGCCAGATGATGACGAAATTATGAAACCGCCGGGTGTTGATGACAGTAATTATAGTGGTGGTGGTGTTGGTGGAGGGCCCGTTGATTTTGGCAATGCCAACAGAAATCATCACTATCAACAACAACAACAACCACAAAAGCAAAAATATGATAACAACATAAATTATGGACAAACAAGTGGTCCACAGCAAAATAATTTCACGCTAGATAACATGACTCAGCCAAACAGTGCGGGGAATTTCTTCATACCGGACCTGTCAAAACCGCCTCCAGGTTTTTCTGGTGGAGCTAATGCCGCCGTCAATCCATTGCCACTAGGTTTACAACAACCATTTGCTCAAATAAACAACATTCCGCATACTGGCAATAATAGCAGCGGTGTAGGCGCTGGCAATATCGATGGAGCTAATCTTAAAGCCGCAGGTTCCAACATAGACGTGCTGGCACTCAATGCTGCCATACAATTAGTTTTAAAACAACAAAACCAACAATTACAAAATTCTCAGCAAAATGTAGAGGGAACCGTACAGCATCTAGCACATACAGATTTGTCGACAAATGTGCCACCATTGACGCAAGCACAAATGCCGCCACAACATATGCTAGACAATGAAGAAGTCACAACTGGACAAATGGCCGTTATGACGCCACAAACTGAAGCAGAGGAAACGAAACCATCAGCGCCTTACTACGATTTGCCTGCTGGATTGATGGTACCATTGATACGTCTAGATGATTATAACTACAAGCCGCTTGATCCCGCGGATATTCGCTTGCCACCACCTGCGCCTCAAAGTGAGCGGCTAACTAACGCATTAGCGGCATTTTACGCGCCACCGACGCATGATCGACCACGTGATACGTATGCATTCATTCTTATTTTTCACATATGTATATGTATAGTTTAAATTATATGTTCTATATATACACCTTTTGTTTTAAAACAGTGAAGGCTGGGAAAAGCTGGGACTGTACGAGTACTATAAGGTGAAAAATGTGGCGAAAAAGCAGAAGGAGGAGGAAATACAAAAGGGTGAACGCGAGAAAACACGCTCACCCTCGCCGATTGTTTTGGAAAAGCCAAAATCGAAAAAACTCAATAAACGTTGCTATCGGTAAGTAAATATGCTAAAGTGATAACAATTTCGTTACATATAAAGCGGTAATTTTCCTCTATTAACATATATGTATGTATGTTAATTTATAGTTCCAAAAGTCGCAGCCGGTCTAAGTCACGCTCACCATATCGATCACCACCTCCAGCTCGTTCATCCTCCAATCGGCGCAATAATCGTTATAGCCAACGTAGCCGATCACCAAGACGTTCACCACAACGAGAACGAAATGATCGAGAACGCGATTCTTCTAGCAGTAGCCGTGAAAATAGACCAGAACGTGCCAATCCACGACGTGAGCGGTCTGTTACACCGCCAAGTTTCTTGTAAGTAAACCAAAACTTCTATCAAATATGAATAAGCTTAAAAATTATAAAATAATTATAATTTTCACAGTGGTGGAAATTTTCCGAAACCCAATGAATTTATCGAAGAAACGAATAAGGGGCATCAAATGCTAAAGAAAATGGGTTGGGCTGGCTCAGGTACTGGCCTTGGCTCGAAGCAACAGGGTATTGAACAACCCATCTCAGGAGGTGAAGTGCGCGATAGAAAAGACATGTTTAAGGTAATAAAAATGGAGCAAATCACTTCCACAATGCCGCTAGTTACTGATCTTTTTTGTAGGGTGTTGGAATTAATATGAATGATCCCTTTGAAAATTTTCGCAAAAACAAGGGTGCAGCTTTTGTGCATAGGATGCGAGCACGAGATGACAAAAGTTAAATCTTTTTTTTTTTTTTTTTTTTTTTGTTATTTTTTCAAATTTTTTTTTTTTTTTTTTATATATAAATTAAAAGGCTAAAAATATAAATAAAGTTCAATTATTATAACAGTGTCTTCAGATTTATTCTTGAAAAATAATCTATGTTCGATAGCTCTATTTAATTTGTATACCCTGAACACAGTGTATAATGATTACCACGAAATTTGTATCATCCAGATGAAAACGGCGGAGAAACGAGGAGATCTTAAACTCACCGATCCAATCAGCGTTAAATCGCCAAAAAAAAAAAACAGTCCTTTATCGGATAAAATCCAGGTAAATTCTGTTAACGTAGAACCGGCTGTTGTCGGAATTGGTCAGGCGACGAGTTCAAGTTGCCGCGAGAAAGTAGTGGTAGAAAGTGACCTTTGTGTAGTATCGGTCTGGATACTGGAGCAGGCTAAACATCTACTTATCCAAAATCGACCCGAACATATCAAACATATGTCCAGCATGCAACAAGTCCCCGCATGAATTTAACCCTAAACATCGTAACACCCTTCCCTATGGTTCGACCTGGTCGAAACGGCTCGTTTTCTAGATCAACCGTTGGATGACCTCGATGACAACTTATCTAAACCTTACACCTCAAACGTCTTAACGTTTTTTTGATAAATCGAGTATAACCCCCAAATTTTCTAAAAGAGGTATTTTAGGTCACAAAAACAAAAACTATTAACTCATTTAGATCGGGCTTTAGCTATTTTATAATTTACTTTATTATAAGCAACGTGTCCGTTTATAAGGTTTAAGTAAAGAAAACGAAATAGATTATCTTACTATAAACAACTTTAACGTTTTATTGCAAACAACCGCCTAAAAGTAAAATTTCACTCATATTTAAATAAGTTTTTTTTAGCTACTACGCTTCAACATTGAATGCAGTATTCGCGGCCTTCGCATTAACTTTATCGAGTATTTGTTTCAATCCTTTGCCTGGTCCGCACTCAAATGTTCGAGGGAAATCAACTCCTTGCCGACGCTCATACATTAAATGCATCGTTTGTTCCCATTTTACTGGCTTTACAATCTGAAAAGTCGACAGGTTTATCAATTTCTAAAATTGTGGTTTTCGTTTATCACTACTCACTTGTTTTGGTAGTTGACGTAATATATGCGTCGCATTTCGGTAGGGTTTGCCGTCCACATTTGAAAACACTCGAATTAGTGGTTCCTTTATAAAAATGTTTTTTAGTGCCTTTTCAAAGGGTTCAACGGCGGATTGCATAATCGGCGTATGGAAAGCACCATTTACTTGTAGACGTTTCATTCGTTTTATTTTTAGAGCCTTCGCATTTACTTCAATATATTGCAATGCGTCCATATGTCCAGCTAGTACCTTGCAATGTGGATACATATAATTTGCTATGCCGCAATACGGAGCTTCTATGCCACGTTCCAAGCACCATTGTTGAGCTTGTGTGCAAATAGTTCCAAGCTGTGTGTCGGGTCCGTACAATATTAGCGCCATTCCGCTGGGCACAGCATCGCACGCCGCTTGCATTGCGTTAGCGCGTACTTGTACTAATCGCAACGCTTTGTCGAATGGTAATGCGCCAGCAAACACTAATGCAGTAATCTCCCCTAGACTAAATCCCGCTGTTGCTACACAATTCTCAATAGCACGCGGTCTCTCTTCGCGTAATTGCTCCAATGCGGCCAATGAGGATACCATCACAGCCAGTTGAGCATGTTCAGTACGATTAAGTTTTTCGCGTGGACCTTCAAGGCACACTTTGAGTAAATCATAACCCAATACTTCATTTGCTAATTCGAATATAGATCGCGCTGAGGGAAATCGCATTAGTTGCGCTGCCATACCAACGTATTGTGCTCCCTGTCCAGGAAATAATATAATAGACGTTTCTTTTGGGTCAATTGCACGCCGTTCGTTTACATCATTTTCCAAAGCATTTACCAAATGCATTTGTGATCTCTTTTGTAAATTTGATGGTGGCGAATCTCTTGCGGATGTTTGCGGAATTGTATCGGGATTATTATCCTCGGCATTCTGGCTTATAAGGCGTAATTGAACCCTTTCAAGAATACTTTTGATTGGAGCTTTTATAGCCCATTTTGTTAAAATACCCCGTTGAAGCAGCATTTCTTTTGCAATGTTTAACTGTGATAATAGACCGGCCAAAAAACAGCTGATAGCCAAAATCAGTGTTATAAGGCTGGGCTTACACATAGAAACATTTGTTGCTAACTATTGGGACACTGTCATTTAATGTTGCTCATTGGAAATTCAAAATTCCAAATAATCGCGTACAAGTTCACTGTTATATCGTTTTGTTTAAAATGCTAGCAACATCGCCAGAAAGAACAAATTTTATTATATTTTATTATATGATCATTATAATTAATTTTTCCTATTTCTTCATACAAAAATTTATATAGTTGATAATCATATACTAAACTTAGTTTACTACTTTTTTAATGCTATCCACCTGTAAATCGTATGTGCAGAAAAATATTTTATGTATACAAGAGTATCGGTTAGATTTTTATTTCCGTCTTAGGGAACCCATACAATCTTTAACGTAAATCTTTGGTATCGCTGTCAAGTAATTCATCTTGGTTTTAAACTATATTATTCCAGGGTTTAATTTCCCTAATTATGCTGAGTCAACAAAATATTCAGAGACTCAACTTCTGTCACAAAGGACTAATAATAAAATATAGAAGATGTTGTTGTGATCGAAAAAAGTTATATCGATAGTTCCACCCAGTTTATGATCTTTTCGAATGCAACCCTAATTAGTTTGATCTATAATCTCTATTTGAAGGGGAAATACAGATATTTTTCTTTCAATATTCCAAAGTTGAGAATTTTCTATATATTCATGATTAACGGATCGTTAAGAAAACTTCTGAAAAATTTATGAGGAATGTATGTGTAAATTTGAAGAAATATATAAAAGATGCTTGTTGTCATTGCAATAACTGCTTGGTTACTATAGAGATCGAGAGTTATTTATTTTATATTTGGTGAATTGTCCTTTTTGTACTGTTTTGAGTTGTGTTTTGTGCAAATTAATTGCAATAACTTCTAAATATAAAATATATACTTACTTTACTAAAAATGATACATCGCACGATATTTGAGGTACAAAATGACTTGGCTCGAAATAGTGGTCATGGTATGGAAATTGTTTGGGATTCGTAAGTAATACATGCTTTGAATACATTTACCTGATTAATTTTCAAAAATTAATTATTGTAGCCTATCTAGTGAACAATCAGATATTTTAAGGGAAAAGATCAAAAGCATTTTACCTGATGATGATCAACGTCAAAATGAAATACAAAAAGCGCGCAAAAATTTATTTCAAAATGTTTGGTCACAACGTAATTATAAATTGTTTATGAAAAATTTAGTTTTCTGCTGGTTTTGGTAAAGTTTGTTTCATCCTTTGCTATTTTTAGGTAAGCATACTAATCGTGTCCTGCTCTCATCTATTATTTATGTAATGGTTACTGAAGAGAGAGATCACGAAGTTGCTAAACACTCGATAAACTTTTCCTTTCATCCCGTCGTACGAACTCGCAAATGCTTATGTAAGTGGTAAATGATATGTTTGAATGAGAAATAAATGTATTCTAAAACGCAGCCGAATATAATATGAGGATGATTTTTTTTAGCTTTAAATAATAGTTCTGGCTGTTGTATGATATTTATTGATGAACACTCTCGAATCTATCAGAATTGGCAGCAGTATTTAAAAAATAATATACTTCCTAGTGGAACCATGATAGCTCCATCAAATGGAGTTTATACTTTAAATGAAAATGATGAGGTAATTATATATACCGCAACATGCATCTCATACCTGTATACAAGATTAATTACTAAATACATAAAAACTGGAATGAAAACCGAACTTTTTCAACCATAGGTCGACCTAGAAATATGCCCAACACCTAATTCAACTTCTATGAGAAAGCTTGAGACAGCAATAGGTGTGGGTGGATTAATATCAGGAACAGCCCCAATTGCTCTCTCAATGGTCATGCCGATAGCGGCACCTGTCATGTTAGCTGCAACAGCAGTTTCATTAACAACGAGTGCTTATACAGCCGTGCGGTCGGCAACGTTTTTAAAAGATCGCCATAAGCATGGTCAGTCCACATCACTTGCCGATCGGGAAGCTAGGAGTAAGTGGTTAGGAGTAGCCGGCGGCGTCGCTGGTCTGGGAGCAACTGGTGCTATGAATGCGCTAGCTTATGCCAATTCGGCTGGTAAAGGTGTACCATTGGTATGTATATAATACTTAGATATGTGAATATATATAATTTGTATTGATTTAAGATGGCAAAGGTAGCAGTTGGTGGAGTAAATGTAACATCGCTTGTACTCTCTGGCTCTGACATAGTAAATACTGTTTATGATTTGTATTTGGTAAGGAATTTAATAAAATTGTATTCGATATTTAATGACATAATTTAACTTATTCTTGGCAGAGCTATGACGATGGGCCAAGCAGCTTAGATATTTTACAGCTTGCGTCGTCGTTGTTGGTTTTTACACATTCAATTAATAATCTAGCACTTGTTACGAAAATTCCAACTCGAGGCGGCAGTGCATCGCTTCGAAGAGCAATTCAAAAGCAGACCAGGTGAGCGAATAAAATCAGTAGGTGGTAATTTATTAATTATGTTTAAATTTCTAGAAATTCATATGATAAAATTTCAAGTGAGTGCATGAGAATGGGCAAAAAATTTAATAAAATGGATCTTATTCGGGTTGTAAATAATATACCATCAAGAGAGGCTTTTATACAACAAATTGGTACATTATTAGCACAAGCTACAGCAGGGACGGTGGTTGGTAATGCTATTAGTGAACTCCCACTGTTAATTAACTATACTTTGGATAGTGAATTAAATCCCATACAACTCCTCGCTGCAGCTGGCTTTAAATTTGTTCGCAACATATTAGATTCAAATAGTTTCATTGATCTACTAGACACAATGGCGAATTTTATGTGCGAAAGAAGCTTTTACCTGTTGATGAATTTGGCACGAACATTTATGGACGAATTCGGTGATACCATTAATGATATCCTTCGTACATTTATACCCACTGAGAAGGTGCTATATGAAATGTTTATGTTGTGCGTCACAAAATATTCTAATCTTACATATGACTTCCTCGAAAATAGGCAAGTCGAAATTCTTAGCGAACTTGAGAAATACTTTTATTCTTTGAATCCAATTGATGACAATAATAAATCTATAAGTTGCAAGATTTGTAAGGGCTATTATTATGAATGTGCTCTATAACGTGTTTTTAATGTATTGTGCACAATCGTTTTTGGAAGACTAGAAAAAAAATTGTGAACTGATCTATTAAAATTATTGGACAAATATATATAGTATATTACGACATTTTAATCTAATTTATTATTTATATGTTTAAGTTAAAAAACATAATAACGTTTATTTCTGACATGCTGAAGAGGGGAAATATGCTTCATCATGCAGTGGGTCGTTTTCTCTACGCTATATACTTTCGACAAATATCTATTAGTTCTCGGCATTGCGCCACCTCGGCGTCTGCTTCATCCTGAAGAGTTGGTATTTCGGTTACTCCCCGAAGAGATAGCTTTGGGAGTCGACAAAGTTTTAGTATGTTTTAATTCTCTGAGCTTTAGACAAATATCTACCAGGTTGTGGTAACGGCTGGCTGTCAACCGTTGGTAGATTTGTGCGAACATTTGTACTCGGCATTGCGCCACTTCGGCGTCTGCCTCTTCCTGAAGAGTTGGTATTTCTGTTGCTCACCGAAAGGAGCCAACGTTGTTGTGTGTCGTTCTTCTCCACGGGACATTCGGGTCTACGTAACCGGAACGGACCCGGATTTTTATCCGGCAAAGGACTGTCAACTCGGCAAAATTCTGCCGCTACAACAACAACAACATGTTCTTCTCTACGCTAATTATTTTCGATTAATATCTACAATCTATCTAGGTTGTTGTAACGTTAAAATCGGTTAACATTTAAATTGATTGCTGAATCCACTTTCGATTCAAAATTATTAGAGTTCAAACTTGTTTTGGTTTATGTTTTTATATTGTCATTCTTTTTAACATTTGTTGTATTATTCAATTTCGCTATTTATAGTTTGTTTTCAACAAGCATTCTATAATTGTAGTTTGGCAACACTGAATTTATTTGCGTCAAAAGTGTGTATTGCGTGAAAAAGTGTTTGATTTGCTGCAAAATGTTTCGATTCTAATAATAAAATTAAATAACATCATGAAATTTAGTGTTTTTTGATAAAACTAGTTAAAATACAAGATAAACGAAAGTAAACAGACAAGTGTAAATTCTTTATAAAGCCAACCAAATAGAAATTTCTCAAACCCTATTTCCTCACATCAGTTCCTAATAGCAAAGGCGTAACCACTCACAATAAATACAATATCGTTCTATATTTGCAGGATTCAGCTTATTTTCTTGAAATCATTTACGTTAATATTGGTAAAAATGAAGTAGTTGGCACGTATGTTGTTTAAACAAATTTCATCCCATTATCCTTAAACGTGCTCTCACTTGGCCTTTATCGTCGTACATTAAACAAAAGCTGGCCTTGTTTTAACATTTGTGTACTTGCTTGGTTTGCATTGAAAAAAGATGGGTCAGGTGTTTCGATCAGGGTCAGCATTGCTTTCACATCGCGACGGCCATAAAGTATCCAAGGCTACCGAGGCACGTATTCAAACGCTCTTTGAAATTTTACGGGCCAATCCGAAGGTGTCTATCCAAACATTGGAAAGTCTTCTGTTGCAAATTCCGAAGGTGTGAATTAATTAATATTTTTCTTAAGTTATAATATTATTTGATAATGTGCATATTTGGATCATATTATTTAGAATGAAAACATTCTTGTAATACATGATGATTGCGGTTATAACATACTTCAACGAAGTGTGGGTCTTAATCACATCGACCTCACCAAGTGGTTGCTACATCGACATAGGCCAGACGTTAATCGTAGTCCTTGTTCACTGCCATTGCATATAGCCTGTTTGAAAGGATATGAAGAGTGCGTCGAATTGCTTTTAAAGCACGGGGCTCGAATCGATACAGATTCACGGATGTGCTTTCCAGGTGTACATTCACACAACTGTGAGGAAAGTGGCAAGTACCATGGCAATTATGATGATGTTGGTACTGCGCCAAATGTATGCGAACGTGCAAATACGAAGTTACAAAACGCCGTTTGCTATGCTATTGATGGTGATCAAATTAATGTACTAAATATATTAGCACAAAAAATGGAAGATCCTTGGGTAAATTTGGTAACTTTTTCAAAAATAAAACATCACTGAATCATTTCGTTTTAGGTACCCTTTCGGGTTAAGAAGCCATTGCTACATTTGGCTTGTGAACGTGGTGCTTGGAATTGTGTGCAGCAATTAGTTATTACACGTTCGGAAGAGATTAATTTAATTAAAGATGAATATTATCCCATTCATCAGGCTGTGTTGCATGAAGGACGTTTTTTGGAGCTTCTGATACAACATGGTGCCGTGACAACTGTACGCACCTGTACCCAACAAATGACACTCCTGCATGTTGGTAAGTAACGAAAGTGTTTTTGGAATGTTAGTTAAGGCATTCTATCATCTTGCAATGACAAAAATAGATTATTCTTATTCAGTATCAGATATAAATAAATTATTATTATTTTTAGTTATTTTTGCAGCGCGCAAATCGGCTGAAGATACCTTAAGTACCTTAAGAATTTTATTAGAGCGAGGATGTAAAGAACTCATCAATGAACCGGACTCTCTAGGGAATACGCCACTTCATGCGCTAATAGTACGCTATGCTTTAGAAGAAGCGCGGTAACTATTGCATCCTAAAATACATGAATTTATTAAACTATATATATAAATTTTGTATGTTTTTGAAAAGCTATGGTTACGACAAGTGGAGCAAATGGGATGTGCTACATCTGGTTCGTTTTCTATTACAAAACGGTGCTAAGAGTTCAATTAACCAAACGGGCAATAGTGCATTGGCATGTGTATTTCGACATGTGCGTGATTGGGAAGTATGCTTTGAATTGCTTAACATGCTGATCAAAGAAGACGGCGACCCAAATATTGTGGGACGTGATGGTTCAGTACCAATAATGGTATTGCTTGTTCCATTGATTAATAAGGATCAACTGCATCATTTTACCCACTCAATGAAGGTATGTATATATTAAGTGAAATGAAGCAATGAGCTATTAATTGAATGCCGTTATTTTCCAGGTTTGTTATTTGAATTGCATTCGCATTTTACTGCAATATGGGGCCAATCCGAATTGCTCATATCGCTCAAATTTGACGCCACTTCATGTATTGGTATTTACTGTTAGTGAAAATTTTACGCTTAATTGTGATGCACAAAAACGAACAAACTTCGATTTTATTAAGAATATATTGTTATTATTATTGCAACATGGACTTGATTGCAATCAAACGTATCCGCATATACTGCAAGCCGTATGCGATATGGTACAAAATGTGCGCAACTGCTCAGACATGCAATGTATCTACGAATTAACACTTACACTAATACAGTATGGCGCTGATCCCAACATCGTACTGAGTAGTCAGGCGACAACCGGCAGCGCAATATTTTCCAACGAAATTGCCAGCTTTGGTGAAACGCTGTGCACTGGTGGCAGTAGCAATGGCGCAGGCGCCGGCACAAACAATGGTGGAGAAGGCACATTTCGCAACTCGTTTCGTACACACTCCCGTTACTTGCTTTTTTATTATATAATTTTGATAACCAAAAAGGAATTCATACTAAATGATCCAGCACTGACATTCACACGAATCATACACCTGTTTTTCTTAACAATGCAACATGGACCGTTATATAATTGCCTTAAATCGTTGCACAATTTCTACGTGGCGCAGGTGCCAAATAAAAAGACCGAACAATTGATATCTCTGATCACTTCATTGTATCGTAAACCGCGTAGTCTCAAGCAAATGGCTCGTATTGCCATCTATGAGGCGGTTAATCGCAAACTTGCTCAGAATGTCAACCGCCTCAATTTACCAGTTCCACTAAAAGAATATGTGCTGCAGTTCGAGAGATAACAAGTGCAGTTCGCCATGGAGTGGTGCAGCAATGCATTAGTAGTCGATACAACTCCCCTATACCCCCTTGATACCCTTACCCCCCTTTTCATTACAAAAAAACAATCATTTATTCCAGCAACGATCTACACAAATCAATTGACTAAATATTAGTTGTTAAAGAAAATATAATTATTTAAGGCTTAATGTACCTAAAAGTTAATGTGAGCGTGAAATGTAGATTTTTTCGAGGGTTGCGTTTTGAAGAGAATAATCAGCAAATGTTCAAAAATATACACACATACATACATATATACAAATAAGTTAATATGTCGAACCTGTTCTAAAAAGTTGTGATAAGTTTTATTATTATTTCATAATGCATATGTGCGCATATATTATCAAATATATTAACATGTACATATGCATATGTTTTTGGAGGTATCGAATAAATTCAATTTAATAAAACTATTGTTCATATATGAAATTATATAAAATTTATTTAATAAATATTAGCACCGTTAAATAAAAATAAAGCTGCCAATTCCATTAAACATTAAATTTGGTTGACGAATTGCTGACTAATCTATTTATGAGAGAAAATTCCATGGGATGCCTTATTTTTCACAAGTTATTGAAGCCCATATGCCTATTTATTTCTAATAATTTGAAATAATGCCGGATAATTATAATTATAGCGGCTTTTGTCGGCATGGCATTATTTTCGTTCTTATTAACTAAAACTGCTGCTTCGGCTCAGATATTAGGGCGGAGCTTCGCGATTCTTCAAGCCGGTATAAAGCAAATAGTGGCAGCAGCGATTACCTTGCTAAATTGTCGGTGAAGGTGCTTTCGATAAATTCTATAAAGACGACCCAGTTAGCACTCGATCGCGATTATTGGGATGTAGATATTGAATATTTCGAGCTTGACATCGCCTGACCGGATATCTATACCCGGACATTCGTGGGTAATATCACTGTGGTCGATGTCGAAGACAATAAGGTGATACTGCATGGAGTAGTGCACAATGAAGGTTAGGTCACCACAACTATCTCGCTATCGATTTTTACACAGAATGTTGAAACCTGCGCATCTCTGGAGTTTTTAGCGGATGTTTAGCTTGGTTCCTTCGACCACAGACATCGAAATGGCTCATAAATTCAACTATTTCTTTGATCTTGCTCGCAGTCAAATTTCGCTTGTCCATTGCAGTTCGTTTTGTAGTAGGGGGTTTTATCACGGTAAGTTTCGTGAGTTCGTAGTGATCCTGGGAGTGAGGGAGGCGGTTGTCGCACTTGGATGTGGGTAGACTCCTGCAGCAAGGGAAAACTGATGTTCCGACAACCGGACACGAATTGTCTTGTGGCCCTCGCACTGTGATCGGAGAGGGTGGAAGGTTGTGAAGGGAATTGATCAGGCTGGAAGTCATGCTGCCTAGTTAAGCTTCATGGGACCGTAGACGTTCCTTGTTGGCCACACAGCTGGAGTGGCGGCGCATTGTGCCAACTGGTTGCGATTTGCATAGCCGCTTTGGCTATTGTCAGCATGGTGTCAAATAATGCGTGGACTGCTCCCTATGAGTCTTAAAGTCTGAAAAAATTTTTAGATGGTTTCAACCTTTGCATGAATTACATCTAAGCAGAATGGTGGAGTATTTTCGCGCAAACCCAAAAGAAAATTTATGCGGAACCCACGTTTGGACTCAAGACMGGCACGAATCAGGAGGATGCGGAGAAACCCAGCTGCTAGGGGTTTCTCTGATGATGAAGAGTGTTAAAATATTACTTACGGATCCAAACAGGGTTAGATCGTCGAAATGACAGCCTTTGGCCAGATAAAATGCAATTCCGGTATTCTAGAACCGATTATCTTGAGAATTGAATACATATCTATAATATATATATTAAATGACTTTGACGACAACTAATTTCCTTTTATGTAAATCATATTTGGATTAACACTAAAGTAAAAGCAACAATTAAATCTATAAACTCTTCAAATTCGAATTACATAAACCGCTAAGTAACGTCCCGGATATCTGTTCTTTTAAATATAACAAAATATTTATAAACATTTTAACACCAAATAGTCACTCTGTAACTTTCCTGGCAACAAAATCGATTTACGCGTACTGGCGTATGTTCATATATCGTTTCTAAGCAAACTTTCGAACCCAACAACGTCTATCAAACGGAAAATACTTTGTCGCTTGCATCAAGAATTTTTTAATTTTTTCACTTGATCTCAACGCAATCACATCGCATACAGAGATTTAAACAAGATGTTTACGAAAAAACTGGAACGGATGTATCAACCACCCTCGGACCTTAAGAGATATGACAATGAGGGATACATACAAAATCCATTACTTAAATTCCGACTTGCCGATATCCAGCGCCAGCGACATTCACGCTTTCTCAAATATCGCGCCGCTCTGGAGAAAGTAAATTTATGCCGCAAGCCGCTGCCACCTGAACCGGACATGCGTCTACTACCCGAAAACGATTACATTGACAATTTGCGTCGGGAAGTACGTAAAATAGAAGTACCAAAAATGTTGCGGAAAACGGAAAAGAAAATTCTCAGCTATGCGCCAACCCGTTTAAAAACCAAATATCCCGAGTTGGTCGACAATTATATGAAAGATGTACACGAAGAATTCGATCGTCTCATGAAGATTTACAGCATGAATTGCATACTGGTGCATCCAGAGTTTGCTGATGAGGATCCCGCACAATTTGTACTGCCACGCAAAGACTTTCACTTCAAGTTACCTGGACGCACAGCGAATTATCCGAAATTTCTTGAGAATAAACGAAAAATCAGCAAAAAGTTACTTATTGTGTATCCACAGGTGCGTATGATTTTAAATACCTCCGAGTTGGAGTTTCCGAAAACAATGGTTGTTTTGGATCCAATAACCCTCGGTTCGAGTCATGTACAAGCGACAATGGGACTCGGCGGCCGAGAAGCACTATTTTACAAGACGTTTATAAAATATGTGGAAAACAATTTGGGCGATGTAAGTAACTTTTTACGCTGGTCATGGTATCCGAAAATGGTCTCACTTATACGTCGTCAATTCCGCCGACGTATAATGCCTAATTGGCTCAAGGCGCATATGTTCAAATGCTTGGAGGCGCTTATGAATAGACAAATAAATATGCTGAAAATAAATACACTGGATGAGTTCTTGCGTGTTGGCGGCTTGGAACGTAAAATTCCTACGCTCAAAATTAATATGATCTATCAGGAAGATGAGAACACAATAGAACTAGATCCGAGTTTAGAAACAATTTACGACATGTATATGCATCTCACCGATGCGACGGCACAGGTGGCAACTGGTATAGAGCCCTTAGAGCCGCAAATCGATTCAGCACTGGTTAATAATGCAGCCGACTATCTGCGTATATCCATGAACGAGTATTGGCTTAATGAATATAAAGTTAAATTAAAAAATGTATTGAGACGTACATATGCGCCTATAAAAGACTATATTATTGGATATAAAAGGAAATATTACAATCTTTATGCGGATGATGTGCGGCGTGGTCTTGACGAGTTTTTGAGAGAATCCCGTGAGTTTGACGAGTACTTCAAACGTATTGAGACTTACTTCGAGTTTATACGTATGTTACAAGGGGAGCCGGAAAACGATTACTTCGAAATGTGTGTAGTCTGCAATAAGGCTGCGTTTGTGACACTAAGACGAATTGCCGACGATTTAATTGCTCGCATAACTGAACAAATGGTTAAGGAGCATATAAAAGCCGAGGAGGAAATCTGTGCTGCATTCGAAGACATTAAAACTAAAGCATTGACGGTACCAAGATCAACTGAAGAATTACTCGCGAGCGCTGAGTACATGATAAGTGTGAAAAAAGAACTTATATTCGCATTAAGGGATCGTATACAATATTGCCTTCAAGTTGGCACGAATCTGGTTGAGTTAACCGAAATGTCACCATACCATTTCGATCTTACCATCCGCACCATTAACTGGCTACAAGACATTAATGAAATCTGTGATTACAATGCTTCACAGCAAGAGCATTATAAATTTCTTTTTGAGGAACATCTGCAGGATGTCATTAAGAAGCTGAATGAGGATATTGATGCTATGTTGCCAAATTTAGCCATTATCGACGATATGAGTGAACCAGAACAGTTTCGTCATAACTATATATTGTTGAGAAATTTCATGGGTCAACTGAAGACATTCGATGACTATGTTGCATGGATTAATAAGGAGGAGAAACTCTTTAAGATGGCGCAAACATCATATCCCAAATTAGAAGTTATGAAGGGTTTCATTATTCCATTTGCAGAACTAATGAAGTATGTATAAATAATAGCTTTATTCATCTTACGGTAGTTTTGAGCAGTGGATACAATCAAATTAGTTTCGCGTTAGTTAGTTGATCGCGATGATTAGTTGAATGGATATTCAGGCGTCTGTTTGTCTGTCCGTCTGTGGGTGTATGCTAAAAGAACAAAGCAAATGTTGAGGCATCTTAATAGAATTTCACACTCAATAGTTTCCTCTCATCAGAGTTAAAATTCGCACTATCAATACGCCTGTTACTTCGATTATAGCATTTTGAGTAGTAACGAGTTTTTCAATAAAAGCTCTACCAAAACCGTTTGGGATATCAACGAAATTCTTTATTCTTGTGAAAGTACCTCCGATGCCATTATGTATGTATTTTGCATGGCCACCATGAGCACGCTTGCAGAAGTTCAGACGGTTTTCAAACATAAATTGGCCGATACTACTGCATGAGATAACACGTTCACCAAACTTGATTTTCAATAAACCGATTGCGACATTCGCTGTGTTGCTTGTGGCGCCAACCTGTTTTAACCACATATTGCCAAAATCCATATGATCCATCGGACTAAAAATATTCGGTTATCATTAAGCGGTAGCAATTCCCATGCACAGTAAAGTGCCGGTTTTTGGAAAAAGTACGCCTCAATGACGCCGCCGGCTCATAAACCGCACCAAACCGTCATTTTTCCGGCACATAATGAGCATTCATGGAGTATGTGTGGATTGCTGAATGACCAATAACGTATATTTTGTTTATTAGCGAAGCCATTCAGCCAGAAATGAGCCTCATCGCTTAAGATGATTTTTGATGAAAATCCGAATCATTTTCAAGTTGTTGCTCAACCCAATTCAAGAACATACGACGATTCTTATGGTCAAGCGGCTTCAGTTTGTGTGTCAATTTGATCTTGTAAGGATGCAGGACAAGATTTTTTGTAAAATTCCCCACAAAGACATTACAGAGATGTCCAACGCTTGAGAACGACGTGTGAGAGACTGATTTGGATCTTATTCAATTGATCGGTTAACGGCAGCAATGTTCTCTACAGTACGGACACTTCTTTGTCTCGCTGGCATGGAATAATTTTGTACTGTGCCTGTGTTGTTGATCTGACAGGTCTTTATGACGACCATAAATTAGACGTAGTGCTCTTAAAGTTGAGGCCACCGACTCCGAATTGCGGTAGTAAATTTTAATAATTTCGACTAGTTGTTGGATCTATATCTTTCCATATTGAAATGGCAAACGGTATTGCTGTCCCCATCGGCTACTTTCGTATGACCCTATTGAGAAGCCTGTTATTTTGTTACTATAAAAATAATAAAGGTTATTTGCTATCTTCCATATTCAGAACATGATAATCTATTATGTACCTCTTTCGAATTCATACCGTAACATCGGTCAGAAGCATTCATACTATATAAGTCCAAAAAACATTGATATCAGTCCATAAATGGGGTATATGTATGTAGTATCTTCGTCTAGCGTAACTAGATAATATATTTATTTCAGAAGTTCCTCTAGCTCCTACACATCTCATAATGTTCTCCATATACAACGATCAGTATTAATTTTCTCAAATAACATAAGAACATAGTCCTATTGACTTTAAAGACTTTGTATATAAGTATAATTTAAAATATAAGTTATTATTATATTTAATGTATATTCTCGTGTTATTAACAAAGATCTTGCATCGAATGGATGCGTTACTTGAATGTCTGGATGTACGGACCTTTTGAGTATCTAGAACCGAAATTCGTTGAAGAAACAACTGATAACTTTCTAAAAGAGTTTCAGAAAAACCAAAAATACTATCGCGTAAAAATCAGACAAGACCAAATTGAAACTCCAATATGCATGTTTCGGGTGAGTACAACAACATAGACAACGCAATTGTTAAATGCACAACTAAATATCTTTACATATCATTACAGGGACAAACTGAAGACCCCGATCCTGAAAAGCATCCTGTGCCTATTCGACTCTGCACAAAAATGATTAAAACTATAAAGGACTTCACCACGGGCGTTTTTATCGTTAATATAATGTGCAATCCGGCATTGCGTAAACGACATTGGAAGGAAATGTCCGAGATTGCTGGTTTCGATATAACACCCGATGCCGGTACAACCCTCAAGAAAATAATTGATATGAATCTTGACACTAAGCTAGATCAATTCGAGATTATCAGTGTTGGTGCTAATAAAGAACTACAGCTGCAGAATAACTTGCACGCAATGATACGAGAATGGGATTCACGATTCTTTCCCACCGGTCCATATAAAGACACAGGTGTTATGATTCTCTCGAATTTGGATGACATACAGGCACTCTTGGATGATCATATTTTGAAAACGCTTACCATGCGCGGATCAGCTTTTATGAAGCCGTGTGAGGATGAAGTGTTGGCGTGGTACGATAAAATAATGCGTGTAAATGCTACTCTCGATCAGTGGGGTAAAGTTCAGTCGAACTTTTTATACCTGCTACCGATATTTTCCTCCAAAGATATCGTGGCACAAATGCCAGAAGAAGGTCGTCTCTTTCAAGTTGTAGAGCAGACATTTACGCGCAATATGGCTATGGTGCTGCGTCAGCCACTTGTAATGGAAACTGCGCCGCAAGCTGGTCTGCTCGAATCACTGATAAAGGCAAATGAACTGCTCGACGACATCACTACCGGTGTGAGTAATTATTTGGAAAAGAAGCGCTTGTACTTTCCACGTTTCTTCTTTTTATCCAATGACGAAATGCTAGAAATATTATCCGAAACAAAAGATCCACTCCGTGTGCAACCGCATTTGAGCAAATGTTTCGAAGGTATAAATCTGCTCGAATTCGATGCCGAAAAGAATGTGCTTGCAATGATAAGTAGTGATCAAGAAAAGATAAATTTTGTCGAGCAAGTGTCGACCGCTGCCGCTGGTGGTAGTGTGGAAAAATGGTTGGTTGGTGTTGAAGCCGAGATGCTGAGAGCTGTGCGTAATGAAATGGATCGTTCCTATGGACACTATCCAACTGTACAACGCTTCGATTGGGTCTTACATTGGCCGCAAATGATCGTACTGTGTATTTCTCAGGTGTACTGGGCATCCATGGTGCACATGAATTTACGTCGGTCTGCTCTAAATCAAATTGCTATGACTGATTTTTTCGGCAGTCTCAATAAGGATTTGAATGATATTGTCGCTTTAATACGATCCACACATATCAATAACCTAAATCGCATAACTATCAAGTCGCTTATTGTAATTGATGTACATGCAAAGGATGTTGTCGAAGATTTGATTCGCATGAAGATTAGCAGTGAGTTCGATTTTCAATGGATGGCTCAATTACGCTATTACTGGGAGAATGGTGACAGTCTTGTGCGTATTATAAATGCAACCGTGCCGTATGCTAATGAGTATTTGGGGAACTCAGATCGTTTGGTAATCACTCCATTAACTGATCGTTGTTATCGCACTTTGGTTGGTGCCTATCAGCTGCATTTGAATGGTGCGCCAGAAGGGCCTGCTGGCACAGGAAAAACCGAAACAACTAAGGATTTAGCCAAAGCACTGGCCGTACAATGTAAAGTCTTCAATTGTTCCGATGGTTTAGACTACAAGGCAATGGGAAAGTTTTTCAAAGGACTCGCCTCTTGTGGTGCCTGGGCTTGCTTCGATGAGTTCAATCGCATTGAGTTGGAGGTACTTTCCGTGGTGGCTCAACAGATCTTACTTATCATACAAGCGGTGCGTGCCAAAGCGGTCAAGTTTAACTTCGAGGGTACAGAGCTAACACTAAATCCAGCCTGTTATGTCTGTATAACCATGAATCCCGGCTACGCAGGCCGCTCTGAGTTACCGGATAACCTTAAAGTACTCTTCCGTTCGGTTGCAATGATGGTGCCCGACTATGCAATGATTGGCGAAATATCGTTGTACTCCTACGGTTTTGTAGATGCGCGGAAGTTGTCGGTAAAAATCGTCACCACCTATCGACTATGTTCAGAGCAATTGTCTATGCAAAACCACTATGATTACGGCATGCGCGCCGTCAAGACCGTGCTCTCAGCGTGCGGTAATCTGAAGAAGAAATTCCCAGATGAAGTGGAAGACATATTATTGTTACGTTCACTGCTCGATGTTAATCTGCCGAAATTTATGTCTTTCGACATACCTCTTTTCGAGGGTATCATTTCGGATATATTTCCAGGTGTAGTATTGCCCGAAACCGACTATACCTTGATTGAGACTGAATTCAAACGAATTTGTGATGAAATGATACTAGAACCGACCGACAGTTTTCTTACTAAAGTAATACAAACTTATGAAATGATTATCGTTCGACATGGTTTTATGTTGGTAGGAGAGCCACTGGCTGGTAAAAGTAAAACACTTCAAGTACTTGCCAAAGTACTTTCCGCTCTTAAAATCAAAGCTCCAAGCAAAAGTTCCTACTTCCAGCATGTACAAATGGGTATAATGAACCCAAAGTCGATAACAATGAATCAGTTATACGGCTCATTCGATCCCGTCTCGTATGAATGGAACGATGGTATAATAGCCAAAATATTTCGCGAGTTTGCAATGACGCCCACGCCAGACAGGAAATGGGTGTGTACCTATGTGAATGATTTCTATAAATAATACCTAATACTTTTAACTTTTAGGTTATCTTTGATGGCCCTGTAGATGCAGTTTGGATAGAAAATATGAATACAGTATTGGATGATAACAAAAAGTTGTGCCTCAACTCCGGCGAAGTTATAACCATGAGCAATGAAATGTCCATGATTTTCGAAGTAATGGATCTGGCGCAGGCATCACCAGCTACAGTGTCACGTTGCGGCATGATTTATATGGAGACTGCTTCATTGGGTTGGCGTTCCTTTGCGCATTGTTGGCTAAAGAAATGCAATCCCATTTGGGCAGATGATGAAATTAAAGATTACATAATGACATTTTTTAAGTGGTTGCTGGAACCGGTACTATAATTTCATATACTTCTTTCTATCAATTATATATTTAATACTTTTCACCTCGGCTCAGTGTCAAGCATTTGTACGCAAACATTGCAAGGAGCACATAAAACCGGGCGAATTCAATTGCTTAACCACAACATTTGATATTATCGAAATGCTGTTAGATGATGCGGTTGTCGAGAATCCCGATGAATATCAGCGACATATGCAGATTTATGTGCAAGCATCCATACTTTATTCATTTGTTTGGGGCATAGGTGGTGTACTGGACACAGGATCTAGAGAGAAGTTTGACGCATTTCTAAAAGGTGTAAGTATCACGAGCCAAGCGAAGAAATATGTATTGTTATGGACGGAAGAAGTGCAAATATGAATATGCGGTAAATCCCTTCATCCGACCCATTTATGGCTTCAATCAGGAATGCAGAATTTTTCTGTTCCAAAATTTAGTACATTAGAGAACTTGGCTTGGCTTGTTTGGGCTTGATACTTGTTTTGTTGTTGATGTAATACCTTAATCGCTCATTTCTTCCATTCTTACTTAAGTAGATGTGGCTGGGCGATGAAATACCCGACAATATTGGGAAATTGGAGATTTCTGTGCCCGTGGAAGGGCTGCTAGTGGATTATGTATATGTGTTCAAGCAGCGTGGTGCGTGGAAGTCGTGGACAGAATTGGCGAAGCGTATGGATATCGAAGAAAATTCAATGGGCGTACAAGTGCCAACTTTAGATACAGCTAGATATATACATCTACTCGAATTGCATATTAAAGTGAGTAGCAAATTCCAGGTTTAAAAATAACTCATTTAAAGTTGTGATTCTTAAAAATAATAATTGTAAAAAAATCCGTGTGATATTAAGGATAATAATTTAGTGATAAAATATTTTTTGGCTTTTAGTGATTAATATAAGTCCATTTTGAAATTCCCTACTTTTTTAAGAGAAAAAAAAACACAGATGCTTCAAATTTATTAGAGAAAGCTTTTTATCATTCGAAACAACATTATTTGGCATTTATTCTTTGAAGATTATCTTTTTGAAATGCTGGTCATGGCTACGTTTAGATGAGCCACCCGTTGAGTCAAACTTTCGGTGACTCATTCGAGAATTTCGATTTGTAACCGGCGAATGACATGCATGAGGTTTTGCTACAGGGCCTGAATCGAAGCGGAATTGTCCTCACAGACTTTAGACTTTACATATGCCCACAAGAAAAAGTGTAACGGTATATTACACGATCTTGGTGGCCATAAATAAAAGAGGTACTTACCGACATCATTTTTTAAGGAATATGGACCGATGATTCCCCTGGTCCACGAACCACACTAAACTGTTTTTTTTTTCTGAATAAAATTGCAGCTCTTGAATGTCTTCAGGTTGCTCTTCATCTCAAGTGCGGCAATTTTGCTTATTTACATACCCAATGACCCAGAAATAGGTCTCATCGCCGAACAAAATGTGGCTCGAAAACTTCGAATCTTCTTAGAACTTTTCAAGAGCCCACAGAGCGAAGTGATGTCGCTTGGGAAAACCGAGCAGCTTCAGTTTTTGCACAAGGTGTATTTTGTACGCTTTGAATTTAATATCTTGTCATAAAATGCCCCAAGTCGTCCGAGTTGCTGCTAATAAAATCACTCTGCTGTATATAGGTTAACATATACCACTATTTTACAGTCCTTTTGCGAATGTGATGTCGGAGGCTGTTTCTTGCGAATTTTGAGCTGCTAAAACCGAAATTCATAGTAAAAATTTCATAACTATTTTAAAATAAAGAATTTTTTGTGTTGTAGTCAAGGGTCAAAAGTCAAAAAACCAACCTTTACTAAAATAACAAAAATAGCTGTGCGTGATGGACATTTTTGAATTAAAATTGGTATTCGGTACACCTCAAATACCCTACACATCAGTCGCAAACCTTCGGATTTGTTGAGTAGTGAAATTTATCCTTTATTAACTGATAGAGATGTGCCAAAAAGATTACGTTTTTTATCTGAAGTTAGTAATATATTTTTAGTACATATAAACCAATATCACACTGATTAAAAATAATCATATTCAAAAAGTATTTTTATTCGTCCATCGTAAATTTTAACAATTGCATGTATGGATGTTATATTTTTCAGAACAAACGGAAGATGATGCTTGTGGGACCCACTGGAACTGGCAAAAGCGCATACATTCAAAATTACCTCATGAATAAAATTGATCGAGACACCATCGAATCAGCATTTATAACATTTACCGTTATGATAACAGCAAATCAAACACAAGAACTGCTTATCTCAAAGGTTTGTTCTGCGTACAACTTAGAAGTTCCGTTTTAGTTTCTTAAAAAATTTTCAAACCTCTTCATCTCTAGCTAGCAACTACTGGTTAGTTTTCTACTCAGAAACAATGTTTTGTGGGTGGACTTATTCTATTTCATTTATTTCAGAGGTGTGATAATCCAATTTTGAAAAAGCAATAGGAAAGGAATTATTTTCTAGTAATCCTTACACAAAAAGTATATTGAAATTAAGTGGCTTCAGTCTTTCAGTCCGAAATTAGGGGCATAACAGAAGGTGCCAAGTGGGTTTCTGCTCTAACCTCCGAGTCTTTTAGGTGATAGCCCAGAGGCAATTAAGACTTTGTTAGCTTCGGCAAGCAGACAATAATTAGACTCTTGTTTGGTATCTCGGTTAATATCACTTGGGGCCTAATCATATGAATCTATTGCCATAGAAATGAAGAGGAAGACGGGTCAATTGAAAATACAATGAGCAATGAATCCTAGAGGAGCACCTCAGGCCTTAGAATACTTGTAACACGTTGCATACTACAATGTTACTTTAGGGTGGTGTTGATGGTGGACAGCTTTTGCTTCTAGACATCTATTGTACTAAGTTCGAGAAAAAGGTTTTATTTGGTTATCACCCGTGAGAACAATGGATCTAACGTTGATTAAGTTAATATATATTGATATAATCTAAAATAAGCTTTACTTATGTGACATTGGGGAACCAAATCCATTTATACACATCATAGAACGCAAGAAATTTTGTCTCTGAAATATGGCGCTAATTGAACGTTCATCTAATGGTACTATAACGGCAATAGTGCATAACATCCAGCAGTTGTAAGGGTGGAAGAATAATAATCATAATCTTGGTGCTTGAATATGCTTTATCCACTCGTAAAATTTGCTACATTCACTAGATCGGCAATTGTTTTAAATCGTACTACTACAAACTTATTGCCTGAGGTTCATATTATACAATGACATATAGTATAGAAGATCAATTGTGTCTATCTAATTAATGTATACATTTACTGTTTATCCACAGCTCGTTAAGTGGAAACGCGGCATTTACGGCCCACCAAAGGGCATGAAAACTGTACTTTTCGTTGACGATATGAATATGCCGGTGAAAGAGGTATATGGTGCACAACCGCCGTTAGAATTACTACGGCAATATTTTGATTATGGTCACGTATATGACTTGAAGGATACCTCGAAGATATTCATCAACGATCTTTTGGTCATAACTGCCTGCGGGTTGCCTGGTGGTAGTCGGCAGGATGTGTATGCTCGTTTTCTCAACCATTTTAATGTTTTCTCGATCAACACATTCGGCGATGATACTATGAATCGCATATTTGTGAATGTACTGATGAATGGTTTCAAACGATCCGGTCATGGTAATGATGTTTTCCTTCCCTCAAACCAAATCGTCAATGCCACACAACAGATTTATAAAAGTGTACAGGCTGAATTGCGGGCGACACCGGCAAAATCGCACTACATTTTCAATTTACGTGACATTGCGCGTGTCGTCTCTGCTTGTGCTTTATTTAAAAAGGAATCGGCTAATGATAAAAAGATGTTTCCACGCCTATGGTATCACGAAGCGATGCGAGTGTTTTACGATCGTCTTGTCGATGAGTCGGATCGCCAGTGGATGTTTCAGAAATTAAATGACTGTGTCAAGAATAATTTTAGAGAGAAATTGGAATCGGTCTTTGAGAACTACTGCACAAATGTTGGTGGCGAAATGACGTTCACAATCGAGGGCGCTCATCGGATATTCTTCGGTGCTTACATGGATGAAGACAATGTACCTGATGAAAGACGTTACGAAGAACTACCGTCAATGGAAGTATTCTTCAAATTCGCTTCTGCTAGTTTAGAGGACTATAATTCTACGCGACGTTCTAAGATGGATATAACACTATTCACATTTGCGTTAGAGCATCTGAATCGTATTTGTCGTATTATTGCCATTAATGGTGCTAGCGCTCTTTTGATAGGTATGGGAGGATCTGGCAGACAATCACTTACCAAATTGGCATCCAACATGGTGCAGACATCATTTTTTCAACCAGAGATCACTAAGAACTATGGACCAAATGATTGGCATGATGACATAAAGAGCATAATGAAGGAATCTGGTGGCTTAAACAAACACACGGTATTTCTTATGACTGAGAATCAGATTAAAATGGAGTTGTTCCTACAAGACATTGACTGTTTATTGAATCAGGGTGAAGTGCCCAATGTATATGCTATCGATGAGAAGCAAGAGATATTGGAATTAGTGCGCTTGGCGGCTCAAGGTGGCAACAGAAATATAGACATTTCGCCGTTACAAGTATTTTCTTTCTTTGTTAATCGTTGTAAACAAAAGTTACATATTGTACTATGTCTTTCCCCGATCGGTGATGCACTGCGTACCCGCGTACGCTTATATCCATCGCTGGTGAACTGCTGCACAATTGACTGGTACCAGAGTTGGCCCGAGGAAGCTTTAACTATGATTGCAAAAATATCGTTGGAAGACGTTAAAGTGCCCTCGACTAGTATTAAAGATTCCATTGTTCAGATTTGTCAGTATTTTCATATAAGTGCGGCTAAGGTGTGTCGAGAATTCTGCGAACTTACAGGACGACACATTTACCAGACAAATGCATCGTTTCTTGAGCTAATTAAATCGTTTCAAACATTAATTGGACGGAAGCAAAAGGAAATTATGGAGGCTAAAATGCGCTACATTGGTGGCTTGGACACGTTAGCGAATGCCGCTGCAGCTATTGCTCTTATGCAGAAAGAGTTGAATGCCTTACAACCCCAACTGGTGGCACTTGCTGAAAAGTCACGACAAATGTTAATTGAAATCAATAAAGAAACTATAGCTGCTAGTGCGGCCGCAGAGCAAGTTAAGAAGGACGAAGTGATAGCTGCCGTGCAGGCCGAAGCCGCGCAAGCGCTAAAAGATGAATGTGAAAAGGATTTAGCACAAGCTATACCCGTACTTGAGGAAGCCATACAGGCGCTTAACACTTTGAAACCCGCTGATATTACCTTGGTCAAGTCAATGAAAAATCCACCACCCGTAATTAAATTGGTTATGGCTGCGGTTTGTGTTATTAAAGGAGTGCCGCCCGAAAGGATACCTGATCCCAGTACGGGAAAAATGGTGAACGACTATTGGGGGCCTAGCAAACGTATATTGGGTGAGATGAATTTTCTACAACAGCTTAAAGACTTTGACAAGGACAATATAAAACCAGAGATTATGGCGCGCATACGCAAAGAGTTCATACCGAATAAAGACTTCCAACCGCGTATCGTTGCTAAAGCATCTAGCGCTGCCGAAGGTCTCTGCAAATGGATAATAGCTATGGATCTGTATGACAATGTAGCGAAAGTGGTGGCGCCCAAAAAGGCAAAATTAGCTGCTGCCGAAAAAGAATATTCAGACACAATGAAATTTTTAACAGAAAAACGTGAGCTAGCAGCGGCATTAGAAGCTAAGGTAGCAAAACTCAATGAAGAATTGGACAAAGCCAATGCGGAAATGAAGCGTACGCAAGACGAAGCAGACTTTTGTCAAAGCAAATTAGAAAGAGCTACCGCTCTAATTGACGGTTTAGGTGGAGAAAAGTCTCGTTGGACTCAAGCAGCTGAAAATTTACAAAGCATATACGATCATTTACCTGGAGATATTCTGCTCTCATGTGGTATCATTGCATATTTGTCTGCCGTGAATCTCTTTTATAGAACACAATGCACATTGGACTGGTTTAAACGTTGTGTGCAGGCTGGGATACCGACATCGAAAGAATATAATATCACCACAACACTCGGTTTGGAAATCACCATACAGAATTGGAATATTAATGGACTGCCAAAAGATGTATTTTCTACTGAAAATGCAATCATAGCTGACAGTTCTAGTCGCTATAGTTTATTTATAGATCCACAGGGTCAGGCAAACAGTTGGATCAAAAATATGGAAAGAAAAAATCGTCTAAGCAGCGTCAAATTCAATCAGGCTAATTATATGAAAGTTATTGCCGAGTGTATGGAATATGGCTCGCCAGTGATTATAGAAAATGTACTTGAAGAATTGGAGGTTCCACTGGATCCGATACTGATGCGTAAAACTTTCAAGCAAGGCGGACAGAACTTCATAAGTTTAGGTGATAATATAGTGCCATTGCATGATAACTTCCGACTCTACATGACATGCAATTTGAGAAATCCACATTTTTTGCCAGAAACCTTCAATAAAGTAACTATTATAAACTTTGCGCTAACACAGAACGCTCTAGAGGATCAACTTTTGAGCATTGTGGTTGCGAAAGAACGACCTGATTTACAAGAGTTGCGTATGATGTTGATAAATGAAGCAGCTAAAAATAAAGCCGCCCTAAGAGATGCTGAAAATATGATTCTAAAAACTCTATCTGCCGCCGAGGGTGATATTTTGGAAAATGAGAGTGCAATACAAATCCTAAACGAGTCTAAGGAGCTATCACTAGATATTGTTGCAAAGCAGGCTGCTTCGCGTGAGACTGAAATGAAAATAGAAGCATTTAGATTGAATTATAAGCCTGTTGCTGTGCATTCATCCGTGCTTTACTATTCGATCACCGATTTGCCGAACATAGACCCCATGTATCAATTTTCGCTCAATTGGTATATAAATCTCTATGAGTATTCTATTGAATCTGCAAATAAATCTAAAGATCTACCACGTCGCATTAAGTTCTTGGTAGATGGTGTGACGAGAAATCTCTACAACAATGTTTGTCGTTCGATATTTGAGAAGGATAAGTTACTGTTCTCTTTTATACTGACTTGCCGAATCTTGTTGGGTACTGGCCAACTAAAGATGGTCCAACTATCACATTTACTCACAGATGCCAAGGAAGCTGATAAAATCATACCCAATCCCGATCCCTCATGGATTACGGATATAATATGGTTAAATATGGTGCGTTTGGAAGATCTACCCGAATTGCGTGGTTTTGCAGTTAGCTTTGCTAAAGGTTTACATGATTGGAAGCGTATCTATGATCATATTGAGCCCGAAAATCAGACAATACCATCACCATGGCATGATAAATTATCGCGATTCGAAAAGATACTTGTTTTAAAAGCGCTACGTCCAGATAAGGTATTTATAGCTATTCGCAATTTTATTGCTGCAGAAATGGGTACACAATTTGTGACACCGCCTGAGTTCGACATTGGTATGTCATATAAAGAGTCAAATGCATTGACGCCACTCATATTTATACTATCACCTGGTGCCGATCCACTTGGTTCACTGTTGACATATGCTGAGAAAGCAGGCTTTATGGATACTTTCCAAAGTATTTCACTGGGTCAAGGCCAAGGTCCTATTGCGCTGGGGCTTATTAAGGATGCACAAGATCTAGGTTACTGGGTTTGCTTGCAAAATTGTCATTTGGCTGCTTCATGGATGCCAACATTGGAATACGTCTGGGAAAATATGGATACCTTCAACACTTCACGTAAGTAAACTACAGTGTACTACATCTCTATACTATTTGAACCGACCATCAATGCAGCTAACTTCCGGTTGTGGCTCACAAGTTACCCTACGCCAAGATTTCCGGTAGCTTTACTACAAAATGGAGTTAAGATGACGAATGAACCACCTACCGGTCTCAAGGAGAATATCATGCGGTCATACAACTCTGAACCAATTAACGATCCTACCTTCTATTTAGGTGAGCCCGATATATCATTTAGATAGTTGAATAAATTAATATAATAGTATACTAAATCAATATAAAAGTATTTTCGGGTCTCGATAATGTATAATGAGATACAACTACTCTTATCGCAAAGCTAAGTTTCTGAGGTTAAACATTATTGTTTTTCCTTAAATAGCCTCTCTACAGCTTCTAATTTTGAGAATAACGTAATATATGTTTTCTCTACTTCCATTCGAAGGATGCCCCAAACAAGATCGAGCTTTTACTCGTCTGCTCTTCGGCATATGTTTTTTTCATGCCGTCGTTCAAGAGCGTCGCAAATATGGACCTTTAGGTTGGAATATCGCTTATGGCTTCAATGAATCTGATCTTCAAATATCTGTATTGCAATTAAATGTAAGTAAATCCGAACTGAATTCATAAAATACTGGTTTGGTTAGTGGTTTCAACATTTTTTCCCACTAGATGTTACTTAATCAGTACGATCATGTTCCTTATGATGCCCTATCTTATCTGACGGCCGAGTGTAATTATGGTGGTCGCGTAACAGACTATTGGGATCGTCGAGCCATTGTCACCATACTTGCGGATTACCTAAATCCTGATGCTGTTAATGATAATCGATATCGATTCGCCACTGATGATCGTTTTATTTTGCCACGCAAAACGGAACACCGTGAAATATTACGTTATGTGGATGAAAATTATCCGTCATTAGCTGCACCAGAAGTTTACGGCCTACACGGCAACTCAGGCATTACACGTGATCTACAAACTACCAAAACTCTGCTCGACTCTATGATTGCGATTGTTGGTAGTGAAATGGCTTCGACTGGAGCCGGCACACAAAGTCTGGACGAAACTTTATTACATACCATTGCCCATATAGTCAATACAATGCCTGTCGATATGGATATTGATAGCGCCAAAACTAAGTATCCAGTTAATTACAATGAATCTATGAACACTGTGTTAGTACAGGAAATGGAACGTTTTCTAAAGTTACAAAAAGAGATACGTGCCTCTTGTCGTGATCTTGATATGGCTATAAAAGGAATTGTTGTCATGACTCCTGATTTAGAGAATGTTTTGAATGCCATTAAATTAAATCGAATACCCGCTAAATGGTTGTCAAAGTCATATCCAAGTCTAAAAACTTTGAGCTCCTACATCCAAGACCTATATAGACGGCTCGAATGGCTGCAGCACTGGTTGGCATCAGTAGTACCTCATTTAAAGGCAACTTACTTTGTATAATATTAATTTCTACATGTAGGTATGCGCACGGAAAGCCCCCTACTTTTTGGTTATCGGGCTTTTTCTTCACTCAAGCCTTTCTAACTGGAGCCATGCAGAACTTTGCTCGAAAATACAAAATTCCAATCGATACCCTAACATTTGACTTTGATGTCCTATATGAGGATAGGTATAGACATGTATATCTCTTAGGCTTTATAAAATATATTTATAATTGATAGCATGAAATCTGCACCTGTGGATGGCGTTTACATAAACGGACTCTTTCTTGAGGGGGCTCGTTGGAATTTGAAAGACAACATCATAGACGAACAACTACCGAAAATACTAATTTATGCGGTGCCTGCTATATATTTTAAAGTAAGTATATATGAGTAGTTGTGGGGGCGAATATCAATTTTTCTGAAACGATTTGATTCAAAAGAATATTTATGACCTTTAATTTATGTGTTGAGGAGGTAGACGATAAACTATTCTCCTTTTTTATTATAAGAAAATGCCGTGTTTAGGTTTTATAGGGTCAAAAAACATTTTTTCAAGGATTTGTTGGATAAAACGATTCAAATGCAGATAAACTCCACTCATTGGTTAATATGTGCTTTGATCCATATTTTCTTATATACTTTATTTTAAATTATCAATATACGACAGAAGATGAGATAAATGATTTGAAGATAAATTGTTTGCTCAGCCTTCATTATTGCGATATTTGTGACACTCTAATCTGGTTATTTTAAGTTTATCACGAAGTTTATAACACCCAGAAGGAAATGAAATATTTATTGTTTATAGGGTCAACAATAAATATTAATGATCAGTGTATGACAGATGCGGCCACTAAAACGGTTTCAAGACCGGAGCATACTTTTGTAGGACCCCCAGAGGTGGTCTAGTGAGTGATGTCCAGAGCATACTAAAATTTTGGGAAGAATACTTTTGCTGCCTATCGAATGGTAGTGAAAGCATAACACCTGGAAAAGGCCAACCCGATTCCACAATCGATGACGATGGACCAGATGTTCCATTACCCGACCATGAAGCAATTTGAATAGCAATTACCCGCCTGCAGAGCAACACGAAGGTATTCAAACACTGCGCCGAAGGGCTAATAAGAAGCAGCTTTTTGTAGGATATGCTCGGACGAAAGTATCTCCGACGATTGGAATTTAAGTGTGCTCTGCCCAATCCGCAAAAAGGGAGACCCCATAATCTGCGCTAACTACAACATCGCATATAAGCTTCTATCGAGCAGATTGTGTGAAAAATTCAAGACCACCGTCAAAAACCGTCAGGACCTTGTCAGTGTGGCTTTAGGTCTGGAAAATCAACAACTGAGCAGATATTCACAGCTACGTCTGAATTTGCTATCTCCGCAAAACTAACTACGGCTATGTAAACTGAAGTTGAGCACTATCAAAAGCTCTGTCAGGATCGGAATGGACCTCTCCGAGCAGTTGTATACCAAAGGAGGTTTCAGACAAGGCGACTGCCTATCGCTACTGGCGTATGCCTATGATATTAATATCATTGGCCTCAACACTGACGCCAAATTGCGAAAAGAAAAAACGACTGGCGCGCTGGCGCTAGGCAGTAAAGAAGATTTTTGAGATTTTGTCCTGACGTGTCTGCATCCTTTTCTCTCTAAGAAGCTTCACATTGAGCGGAATCGCCGATATTGGGCAAACTAAACGATCAGATTAAAATTATTGCAGGGAAACTTTTTTATATGTTAAGGGTATACTTGCTGTGCAATCGAAATGTGTTTTCTTGTTTCTTTCTTAGAACGAATTCCGTTATTTTTATAACTGTGACTCACAAATTCATGTTTGTCCCTCTTCCCTTGGAAGATGTATCAGTGTGTTCAGAATCAGACTCCGAGTTTTTATTCGACTGATTGTAGCATGTTTAGGATAATATTTTTAGATCTCACTCCAATACAACTATTTTCATTAAATAATGGATAAACTCATATGTTTTATTAATTTTTCTTTTCGCAGCCCGTGGAGATTTTAAAACTTATAGAAGGGACTCGCTACAAATGCCCTTTATATAAAACATCAGAACGCAAAGGTGTACTTTCGACTACCGGTCACTCGACAAATTATGTGATCCCGATATTACTGAAAACGAAAGTAAAAGCCACGCATTGGGTTAAACGCAGCGCCGCTTTACTATGCCAAAAAACTGATTAATAATAATTATTTTATTTTTTAGTTATATTTTTACTCTTCATGCGTATAAGCATATTTTTTATTAATATTTTTTGTATTCAATGGTTTCAATATTTAATTCAAACATTATACGAAATATATATGTATATTTTGATAACCAACAAACATTTTTTGGCACGATAATTCTAATTTGGTCTAACAAGCAATAAACTCTTTGACGCATTATATCATCGTGCAAATATGTATATACAATGTTACAAGAAAGGGTGTAAAACAGTAGGCAACAGATTAAAAAGAAAGAAAGAAAAATTCCAGCAGGAAACCTAAAGATTATATTGACTATTCCGCCACTTTTCGTAAATATACATAATTGTTGTTAGAATTCCAGTTTATTGGGTTTGGCATTGTATACCTTCCATTTGTGGACAATCGAAGCCGTCACTATCACCGTCACTACTGCTGTTGCTATGTTCGTCATCACCTGAAGGATATGTACCGCGACGAGGTGGAGTACGAAGAAATTGGCGTATAAAGTTGTGAAATTCACGATCATTAAACCCACAGCCGTCGCCCAATACCGAATGTCTGAGGTTACGTTTAACACATGTTTCGAGTTTGGATAAATCAGGAGGATACTACCAGAAAAATTGTGACGAAATTATAAAAATAAAAAAAATTTCAAAATACCGAGGCCACCTACCACGTCACTACTTGGAGTCCATATTTTTATGCTGCTATCTAGTCCAGATGTAGCCAGTACCGGAATTGATGGATGCGGCTCCAAACAATTTACCTATAAGGCGAGTGAAATAGTTCTTTTAGTTTGGTGGACTGACACTAGTACGAGAATTAAGCGATTTGACATTTAAATTTACTACTTTAAACACAAATTTGTTTAAGATAAGCACTACACTTTACTCACCACACCCATGGTATCGCCAGGCATAAAGTTTAAGATTGCTTCAGTATTTTTATCCCAGTAAAATATATTACCACAATCACTTCCACTGATGACATACTCTGAATTGGGTCCGAAAAAGTTTACCCCTTTAATCGTTTTGTGATTGCTGTGTGAAAACAAAATTTTAATAAACTATATTCAATAGGGATTGATGTGATATTTGAGCTTACTAATGACCACGGTAACGATGCAGATATTCGCCTGTTTTGTATTTGTTATTATTAAATAAGTAGATGAAATCATCGCTATAAGATGCGAGCACTTCACTACCTGTATTGTTGTAGACAGCGCAAGTGACTTGAGGCATACCACTCTGAAAATTAATATTTTAATAATTTTAATTATACATACAAATTCATAAATATTCAATTCGTTTTCACCACAAACTTACTTTAACTAAATGTTCGGGACACATTTGATGCACTGGTTTGGCCATATGGCGCTTATCGAAGACACGAACGAAGTTATCACAGCCACAGACGCATATTTCCGGAGCGTAAGGGTGATGAGCAATGCTGAAAAGACGTATTTTGCGTTTCTTTCTGCTGCTCTGCACTTTACAAAGGCTAGTTGAGCTCTCATCGCTACGCAAATCTTTAAGACGTATATGAGCATCCTCGCCGGCACTTATAATTTCAAAGGGGTTATTTGGGCTCATCACAAGTTTATGTACGGACCCATTATGACGATATAACAATGATGTTTGTGGTTTTCCGCCCGATGACGGTAGAATTGAACGGCGTACTTGACCATCCCGACCAGCGGATACAATATCTAAAACACCTGCACTATTAATAAATTTCGTTTGAAATATATTCTGAGTATGTCCAGATTTAAAAACGCATTTTGGCTTCTTTAGCGCCCAATCCCATACTATTATGCGTGTGTCATCTGAACCAGAGCAGAGTAAGTCACCGTTGCGATTAAAATTTAAGCAATTTACACAGCCACTATGCTTTGTTAGGCAATGGGAGATCTTCATACGTTCGATAACATGTCGCGCTCCATAAAAACGTGCATTGAAACCTGCAGATAATCCTCCACTCAATGATCTGCGGCCATCGCCACTCAGTCCATGTTCACGACGCATCAACTCATACGTTGAACACCAGGTATATGCTGGTTTAGGTTTATTCATAATTTCAGCTAAATTGCTCGCATGCTCTATGGAGTCAGCATCATCTTCATCATCTTCATCATCATCATCAGTGTCATCCTCGTCGTCATCGTCATCATCATCGTCGTCATCATCATCATCGTCATCATCTTCATCAATGTCATCATCGTCGTCGCTGAAAATTGGACTGCTGCTTATATACGGCAACCTGTTCACAGTGGCGGAATTGGCAGGCAGCTGAAGGTAAAGTCATATAATTATTACAGAAATTTGTACTTATATTTGTGTATATAATATTATAACTCACATCCTCAGCTTCGCTCGGCATTGATGTATCAATATTATTAACAGCTTCCGCGTTTGTTGATTGTGTTGTTGATTCCGACAGTAGCGGCTAAGATGCATATTATTTATTTACAAATTTTTAGTGATATTTTTTTCAAAGAAACCAACCATTTGCTCTTCTTCAGTTGCATTAACAATGACTCCTTCCCTATCACTTTCGTCTTCATCGTCTTGGGTACTATGTCGGTAATTACGACCACCACGGCGTGTATGACGAGGCCAAGCGGGTAACTCAATTGTATCATTGCTACCACAATGGTGTTCCACCTCTTTACCATTGCTGCCTGATTGTTGCTCCGTTTCTTTTTCAGCATCGGGTTGTAATGACGTTTTCGTTTTTTGGTCAATGTGAACTTGAGTTACTGAATTCTCATTGAGGGTGGAGCTATGTACTAAATTGTCTCCTGGAAGGATGGGGGACGTATTCAGGTTATCAGTACTGTTTACATCAGTAGAATTCATGTCTATATCTGGATTTAGGTCCGTATTATTGGTAGTTGATTGTTCCTCAATGTTTATGCAAACTCCGCTGTCACTGCTGCTTTTATCTGTCTTTGTTGGAGTTGAGCGGGAGTCACTAAAAACAATATATATATGTTGTGGTATATATTATAATTTACAATGCACATTGGATGATAAGGTAGCCATATTTCCAAATGTTAATTAAATTAGAGTACAAATGAAAAATCTTCAAATTGAAAAAAGAGGAATAGTATTTTAGTTGGCTTATAAAATCATAAATCATTTCACAACAATCGCTTGTTTTTAACAGGATAGTTAGATATGAGTCCGGTATTTAAAACCGGTCAAGTTTTGTCACTTTCTTTAGAATAACGATTTGGGAAATGTGTAGTGCGGCTTCAATAATATTAAAAACATTTTTAATTGAAGAACTCCTCTCACCTTTCACTATAATTATCATCCGTCTGTTCTGTGACCACTGCCTCCAAAAGTGCCTCCACAGTTTCCATTGCTATTTCCTTACCTTCGTCGTCGTCTGAAGAGCTCTCAGCTGATATCAGTTTATTATTCGACAAATTTTTGTCAGACGATGATTGCTCGATTTTGTCCATACTTTAATCGAAGTACAAATATTTTCTTAGTTAAAAATACAAAAGAAAATGTTTGACAGTTATATTTCTTACTTTTCACATTAGTTTGATGAGCTACTGCCGTTGGCACCTCTATATATTCGTTATTGTTATGTTTGGCTTTTATCGCACCGAGTTGTTTGCGTAGAACAATTTTTACAAGTCAAACGTATAGGTAAATACCCAAATTACTGTCTCAATTGCTTAAATATGAAAAATTATGTGGAGTTGATATCAATATAACAATTTTATGAAGTATTATCCAGATTATCCAGAAAATGAAACTTTTAATCTTCGCAGCCAAAACTTAATTAAGAGAGTCAGGCCGATATTATAAATATTCAACGTCGTCGTAATTGTGCCGTCTAGCAAAATCCAAAATGAAACTATATTTACAAAAAATATACATATATTAAATTCAAGAATGATAGAATCTCATCTTGTATTAAACTCGTTGCTTGCTATTACAAATCTGTATGCAAATAATGTTTTAATATTTTTAAGATGTGTTGAAAATGGGCCAAAAGTTTAGACAAATTTGGTTGCGTTTTACAACACTTATACAGTTCGACCCAAATAAATAACACAGGCAATGTAAACATGCTCTAAAACAGGTCAATTGAAAAGTACCCAGCATCACAAATATACTCAAATCCATTTAATTTTTAATTAGCGTTAACCGTCAAAATAATCTTGTCAAAATTTGACAGCTGTTAGATTATTAGTTTATGTATTATATTTACATATATTATGATTATTAGGTTATGTATTATATTTTGAGTGACACAACTTTTGTTATTGTGAAAAATTAACAAAAAGGGAATTTGCTTGAAGGTACATATACATACATACTTTTAAAGCAAAAGCTTGTCTTAATGACGATTTTCCGGACACTGTATGGTAAGTTTTGACGCGGTGAACTGACGACTGAAGACTGAGACCGCAGTGAACCCCCAAAAGAGATTGTACATATCTTCATATCATTCACGAATATTTGGGTAGGAAAAAGTTCCGTGCAAAGTGGGTGCCACGCGAGGTCACTTTGGACCAAAAACCAACGAGTTGATTCGGAGCAGTGCTCGGAGAGTTTGGAGTGTAATAAACCAGAGTGTTTGCGACGATATGTACCAATGGATGAACCTGGTTCCGCATTTCACCTCGAAGTCCAATCTACAGTCATCCGAGTAGGGATGGGTAGATTGTTTACAGAATCGATTCTCGAGTCCGATTATTTTTTTTTATATTTTTTGATTCTAATAATCGATTAATCGAGCGCAACATGTTGCTACAGAGTATACTAGCTATGTTTGTTAATCGAACGTTCGTTTGTATCACCTAAAACTAACCGAAATAGATATAGGATTCTGTAAATATAACTGATAAGGATGTCGAATTTCAAATGTCTGTCTGTCTGTCCGTCTGCCTGTCTGTGCAAAATGTAGCTTGAGTAAAAATTGAGATGATGAAGGTTAGTACAGGTGTTCCTTGGCAAAAATCGGGACGTAGA